TGGGTGGACAGAGGAGCAGAAAGCAGTATATCTGGCAACGAGCGTGACGGGACAACCACTGAAAATACTTGGACAGTTGTCAGCAAGAATTAACATATAGCACTTTTGCCCTTGTACCTGTGTGTGAATATATATATATTGACAAAGCTGTGACTTGTCTTATGCACCAGATAATCATTACAATAATTTGTATTGCTTCATATTGATCTGAGCGTGTAATTATGAATGCATACAAAATTATATGAAAATATAAACTAATAAAGTTATTTATCCCTCTAATAATACTAGGTAGAAGTGCAGAACCCTTTGTAAGTGAAAACATTCATGCACCATTATTGTAATAGACAACCTGAAAATGTCGAGCTGACTGCCATCTATGATGTTTTATGTGAATTAAGTCTCAATGCATTTTCCATGTCCATTTTTTAGTTCATCTCTCTTACAAAAAATTTATTACTTAATAAGATTTATCATTTTAAGAGTAAATCATAAGCATAATTGAAGTAGATAACCTTTTATATTTGAGTCTACTCACGATTTGTTGTATTTTATGATATCTTAAAATTACGACAAAATTGCATGTTTACATAAAAAGAACATTAAACAAAATATTACATAGTAAAACCAAAATCAAAAAAAGATTAACCCCTCAGATATGATGAAAAATAATTATGTTCAAAAGGTTGAACATTTTAACCACATCATTTTTATGCAGCAACTGAATTTCGTGTTTAGAAAGTATTTTTTTAAAATTCATTTAATAAAAACTATTACATAAATGGCGTAATTTCAATCTGTAATTAAATCTATAATGTCTTGACTTTTCCAAGCAGTTGTTATCTTTATAACATTTTAATTACTAATATCGAAAAACACATATAGAACAACCTTTCAATATTTGTATAAAGGTGAAGGAAAGTCTTAACGCATTTCGAATCCCTAGAACACAACAGGGAGCAACATTGTTTGATTTATTTACGTTCTTAAAATGTTATTATTTATCAACTACATAAAATGTCATTTCTTCAGCCAATGTGTATAATATTAAACAAACAGTTCTCTTGAATCCAAGATATCTCTTTTAATGTTAAACTAGTCCAAGCACAATAGTTCTGGCTGCTAACCACGAATAGTCAGGAGGTCTTGACAAAAGAAAAATGTCAGAAAATATTAGGAAATGTATAGACTGGCACTAGAGGGCTAAGTCAATCTTTCTAATTTGTTGAAATGTGTCATAACCGATATTTGTAAATTGAGTACTCAATATATATATATATATATAAATTGAAGATTGTGAGAAGTAAATATTCATTATTGTGTAAAATCGAAAATAAGTTATATCTTCTTCACGTACTCCAACGTTTTAAGTTATTTAAAACTAGGATAATTTTGCCAGTAGTAAGCCTAAAAGTAAAACTTGAATTTACAATAAAAGTTAATAAAACTAAATTTAAATAGTTCAATAGTACTTATAAGTTGTACTACAACTTACAGTTGTACTAAATCATTAAATGTACTATGTAGTCAGTAATGTAAAAATATAACTTTCACAGTTATACCACAGCAGGCACTATGTTATTAAATGACTCCTTTAAAGTTCATTATCATTGTTTCTATATTATCAACAGGTTTTGATTTTATAATTTTAATTAACTGAGGCACCTGTCCTACATTATTAGGTATAAAGATTGAGTGTAGGGCTTGAAGTAATAAATCTAAAATTTGTATTTATATGCATAATTTAGTTTACATGTAATTTACAACTACCTTATTCCACATTAGAGAAATGGTGTTACAATTACTCTGCTTTACTTTACCATATTACTTTTACTAATCCTTCTCTACAGCCTCAGTGTTTGTTGATACTCTTTGAGTACTTCTTAATAGACCACATTAGATATTCTTCCTCCTTCCTGGGTCAAAATAGAAATTTCTTGGTGATCCTACTCATGAACACCCAACACAGAATTGACCAAGTGAAAAGCAAGGGTTTTCAAATGTAGCCCTCCCACTTTAAGGGTTTGACCTTGTGCTTTTGTTGCCTTTTTTTCCATGAAAAACTCAAAGTAAAAAATTGTAGGAATAAAAATTGGTTCAAGACTCTGGAGTCATTAGCTAAACAAACATATTTTTGCTGTGGGCATGGCCAAGGGTGGATGGGGCTGGGTAACAACTTCCCTATGACATGTCCCTTGGTCCAATGTATCATCCTACATAGTTTGTTTGAGATTGATCCAAAGACCACAGGGGAGTTTGCTACACAAACAATTTTTTTACTTTTATAAGCACAGGTAATTTGAAGTGGCTATATCATAGCATAGGATATACACTGCAACTGTATTGTGTAAACATTGGTTATGGTTTGTAAATAAGAAGTTAGAATTTGAGTTTAGAGTGTAATGATTTCAACTTGTTTTACTCTACAATTTGGGATGGAGCTGAAGAAAATTAATGATTAATGTAGTTGACTACATCGGTTAAATGTGAATTCACAATGAAACCAAGGCAGTCTTAAAGTTAATTACAGTGTTTTCACTTTTATCTTAAAAAAACAATATACTGTAAAACAGGTCCTGGATCTTACATCCTGAGAGATCCGGCAGAAAATAAGCACTGTGAATTATGACTTGTCAGAGAAATCATTGCACTTGAATTGTGAGTAACCCATCATTATGACAATCTCTTGGAAAGGAAGTGATTTTGATACTTTATAAAATCTAAAAGTAGTTAGAAATATTTTTCTAAATTTAAAAAAAAATTCTTTAGGAAAACATTCTTTTGTATGTGTTGTGCAGGCCAAACAAGGGAGAAACTGTTTAGTTCTTGTTATTATACATCACACAACAAACTAATGCTTATGAAAGTGATATTTTTATTAAAGTGGAATGAAATGGTTTATTAATGAACTGGGTATGAGTACCAGTTCGTAAGCTGTTTGTTGGTGTCTCACTTTCGTATGTTTGAAATGATTTGTCTAGTCAAAAAGAAAGATGTGAAGAACATTATATCATGGTGCATCTGAAGCCTCCTGGTTGTTATTTTAGTGTTTTTATGAGCCAGAAAAAAAGGTTAAGTATTTAGACACCAGTTATGTAATTAAAAGTTTATATATATTTATATATATATAACATTCAGTTTTGACAAATTGTGATTTAGTATTCTACATCTGTTTCAGATTGCATCTCATTCCTTAAAACTGTGGCTGCACTAATGTATGAAAATATGTGGAACTTTATTATTAGACATTTAAAAAGGTTCTTGTTGATCTGGTGAACACCATTTATTCAAATTTAGCATTTATTTTTGAGTGATTAAATGTTTTGCTTGCTTTGTAAAATGATGAAAAACTTCCTGAAGGTATTTGACTTTTGATGCCATTATTCTTTTCCAATATTGTTTTAAAATCAGAACAACGAGGAGAAAATGAATGGTTACAAAGAAGACATAAATTTACTAATTAAGCCATCCAAGAAGTTGGTCAAACAGATGACTGCTCTTCAAGACTTGTGCACTTTAGAAGTGAAGAAAGAGATAAGTTGTTATAATTTGAAAGAAAGACCACCAATACCTTTCAGACTTATTAAGTATTTTCATCAGCTGAATACTGGTAAGTAGTAGAAGAGTAATCTCAATACACTGTTTTATATGCATAGTCATAAAGTAGAATGTTTCAAGTTAGTTAAAAAAACAATTAAAAAAGCAATTGTAACCAGATAGAAGCCTGTTTTAATGTAGAACTATCACTTAACATAAGCTTAGTGATTTATACACTTGGGCTTTAAAAGGATCTAGTGTATGCATTATACATGGTTTGTCACTGGTTTATTAAACCAACAATAGACTTGGAACTAGTTCTCTACTACACAGCAGTTTAAATAGTTATTCATATTAACACTGCATTAATGATTTCATGAAATAAAGTTATTTTCAGTGTTATAATTACAATGTGATTTCAATTACTATGATTCTGCATAATAGTTACAGTACCATTCACGGAAGGAATGAAACAAAAAGAAGATTTAATTGTTTATAAAATGTACAGTCTTACTTAACAGACATATATAATGATTCATCTAATGCATTTCTAACAATCTACTGCTGGAGTGATGAGATCGGGTAACGAGTGGTTTACTCTGTTTTACTAGTTAGTAAGTGTTGGTGTATCCAGTATAGGCTACAAATATGTTTTACATTTGAATTCTTTTCAATGTAGTTTGGTTTCATTTTTATAGCTGAGTTTTTGTAAAACTTTCTTAGCTGTGTTTTAGCTCAATCTGTTAATACAAGTTTTAAAAATCATTTTTTTAAAAGTAAACTATAAATATTTTCATATTCTGGATACTGGTATGTAGCATAACTGTGTGTGTTCTTAATACACTATCTGTTTTTTAGTTTTACAAGTCATAAAGTAAATATTTTGTCCATACATTTTTACATAGATATTTTAGTTTCTGTCTTCTATTACTTTTATTCAATATGATTATTTTGAAAGATATAAAATATTAAAGATTTTCTGGTATTTAAATTTTTAATGTTCATGCAATACCTTTCTACCAGAACATGAAGATAAAACTTACCTTCACGAAATGATGGAAGGATGCGAAGTGTTCTTACCTAAGCCAGAAATTTCTCCTAGGGTACGTTACTGGTTAGAAAATGTTGCTTGAATATGTCTTTTAAGAAATAATCACATAAAACAAAAGTTTACCTGAATAAAACGTCCCACTGAGGTTTCAAGTCTTGGATCCATTTTACTTTAACTATGTATTTCAAAAGCAAACTATAGACACTTAATTAAAGTATTAAGATCTTTTTAATGGTTTTTGATTTACAAACACAACTAGGATTGTGTGATTCTTTATAATATATATTATGGATTTACCTTTTGCGATAAAAGGTATGGGGCACACTACAAGATTTATTCTTAAAACTTTTTTTAATTTTTCAATCAAACTGTTATTAGTTAAGGATATGTTAATGATTACTTTATCAATAAACCATTTTTTTATCTAACAAATATATATTGACATATACAATATATATATTTCCAAAAAATGTTTTCACTATCGGCATAGGAATAGATAGGGCAAGTGGTAAGATTGCTCAAGGAGCCAGAAGCATGCAATGATAAAATTTTTATCTCCTCATTATTTATTGAGCAAACTTTCAACTTCTCTCGTGGAGCTCTCTTCAGTTAATGGATGTGAGAAGTATATTTACAAAAGTATGTCAGTTGTTATTGTTACGTCTCTGTTCATTTGTTAATTTCCCATAGAAATTCTTTTTGAGAAACTTCAGCGATACCAGTCCTTTCTTAAATAAGACTAGTTTATTCTTTCTCAATACAACTTTGCAATACACAGAATTTCCACAGTCACTTTAACTTTAACACACGCTATAATTCACAACGATTCACGCACTTTACTTACGGTCACTACTGCTCACTCGACTCAATTATTTGTCTCTATATCTGTATCTGCAATTTTCTATGCCGTCACTTCCCCTCTCCGCTTTATTTGCCGGGCTTATCTACAAAAATGGTGTCTAGCAAATACTGGGATATTCATGATGTTCCCCGATCCTTCTAGAAACTCATGACGTGATACCTGCGTCACGTGACTTCCGCTGTCATAACATTATTATAAAAATAGTGAAACATAATATACAGAATTAAAACTGAGAAATGTAATAATATTTATAGAACTAACTCGGGTTTTAAACAGAGAAGTAAATTTTGAACCTGAAGATAAACACCTAATAGATTTAAATTATTTTTCAACTTACTCACATTACAACTTTAAAATTTAGCAATGTTGTACTAGGATTAAGAAATAGCTTTGATGATGCCACAAGTTATGAAACACAAAAATGAGGATCCTTTTGTATTTAGAAGCAAGTATTTACCTATCTCAATCTTTCCTTTTACCCCAAGGCAACTACTAAAAAAAAAGTCCACCACTAAATGCAGTGTTCACAGCAAAGTGGGAAGAATGCCACAAAACAAATACCTGACAAACAGACAGTGGTAAACAAAATGGCGTGCAGTTGTATCTTCACTCTGTCATTATATTAAAATTGTTAATCGAATGTATTTTATTGAAATTGTGTATATGTTATATATATTAAAATTGCTGGTATAAAAATTGAATTTTTTGCAGTACACTATCAACTTGTCTGCAACACTCCACATGGAAGTACTGATCTATTTATACTTCTTTAAATTCTAAGCCTAGAGTAGTCATATAACTTGGCCATCATTTGCAAATGTGCATCCAGAACATTTGTTATTATTTTGCACAAAGTGTTTTTAGTGCTAGCTTTCGTGAAGAGTACTTTCCATCCACAAAGTAGTTACAAATATAGACTAGAATTTGCTGAATAATTCTTACCACTCATTTAGAACAGTTCTTTTACTTCTATTATAGACCTTAAATTTAATAAGAATTCTCTTTGCAATTTGCTTTTAATTAGTGATGAGATAATATATTCTGTTTGACTAGAATCCTGAACTGGAGGCAAGGATTCGGCGACTTCAGGCAGAACAGGCTGAAAGAGAGTACCAGCAAATGACACACAATGTTAGGCAAGAAGAGAAAACCTCAATGAAGCTTGGTTCAGAAGGTAAGAAGTATACATACTCCATCATTCAGGATCATTTCATGTTTAACTTTCTATATTTCAAAGTATAGAAATTAAAATGAACTTCTAAGTAAGGTGAAAAGTAGTGATTGTAACTACATATAGATGTTGAATTTCTCTTGACATGTGTAATACCAAATTAATATTAATGAGTCATTTTTATTATAGCAAAGTAGTCCTCAGAATAGACTTTTTAAGTTGCAAGTGTCAGTCGAAATTTATAAAAGTCGAACTGAGTCAAATTAACAAAAATGCCAACAAGTTCAACTGCGTAGGTCAAAATTTCTGTTAAAAAAATTCAAGTGCTCTATTATTTTATAAAACAGAGGGCACAATAAAAATAATCATGAAACACCACTATTGACATCTTCAAAATCTACACCATCAGTTGTTATAACAATTAACTAATAGGACTATCCATTTACCTTGAGAATGCATCAGTTGCTGCCTACATGACCTACTTGATGTCACACAGTCATATGAGTGCAGCACAATTTTTGCTAAAAGCATTAGGCCTATCAGGCACCACTTTGTGGACAATAGTTCTAATAACTTCAAAAACTCAAAAAATCACATATATTAGAGAACATGATTTAGTACATACAAGAAGTGGAATGTCAGTTAAAAAACTAGAAAGTCAGTGTAATAAGCTTGTTATTAGGTTTGGTTCTCAGAGCAATTGCAAGGCTGGAACTATTTTGGACAATTTTACTTTAACAAGTGCTAGTACAGGTATATAATCCAACTAAATTTGTGCTGATGAGGCCTAGTACCAGTAGCATCACCAGTAATTACAATATGTATGCAGAATAATCACAATCCTTCTCTTTGAAAACAAAGTTCACAGTGATATGTGCTTCAAAAGTGCTAAACAATGTGATGAAGATGATGATTGTGACAACACATCATTTCACCTGAGTGATATATAGTGGTATTTGCTACCAACAGGGACAACTACCTCAAATGACCATTTGAAAAATGTGCATAACATAAAAAGCACTTCTAGCATGCCACAGTTTAGTGTAAATAGAACTAGCCTAAGGCCTGTTGGTTTTATTTGTTAATTTTGTTTGTCTTTGTTACTAATGGTAGGGATAGTAGATGTAACAAACTTACTCTTTTAATCTAGATCTAGACTTAATGTTACAGTTCTGTAAAGTTTTTACTATGTATATATATACATAAACATAAATCTACTAGGCCTAGCGAGAGTATGCGTAGGTCTAACTCGTCGGGTAGATATAGGCATATATCAAGGCAATTATAATATGTATGGCATATACCTAACAACAAATTAGCTATGGTTTAACATCAGAAGTGCATAATAAATAAACTACTGATAACAAATATGTGGCACTACAAATTATAGTCATACGTTTGAATGCTTGCATTTTGTTTTAATGCTATATCAGTGCAATAAGTTTTTTTTAATGTTCTTTAAGTTTTAATTTGTTGTTTTCAGTACATGTATGATAAATTTTCTCTTGGTAATGCACTTTTTACATTAGTAGTACTGTTCTAGTAAAGGTTACATAAAAATTATTAAACCCACTATGCATATTCACATTGCAATATGACTCATAAACCATTGCTGCTACATGCAGTCTGCCTTAACAGACAAAAATGTAATTTAATACAAAAAAAAATTCACTGTAATTTTCACTAAGGATTATCTTACTTTTTTTGTGATTTATTTCAGCAACCCCTGATTGCTGATTTTGATAAATCTAGACTTAAACTTGCTCAAGTAGAAAACCACAGAGGAGCTGTTTGAGGATTTCTTGATTTGGTTTGGCATGAATCTCTTCGTGACAATTGAAAAGTCAGGATTCAGTTACTTTTTTGCAAAACATTTTCCATCAATGTAGCTTCCTTATGGAAAATACACTTGACAAAGTGTATCAGGAAGAAAAATTGGATATCATTCAAGAACTGGGACAACTAAAGTACTGATGTTTGAAGTGACAAATATACTGGCACACATTATATAGGTCTATGTGTTTGTTGCATTATCAGTAAAACCATATGAAAGCATGGCAGAATTTTTCACCAACATTGAGGACAAGCAATTTTATGCCACTCATGATGGAGCAGCAGTAGCAGTAAAGAATACAAGTACAATTATGAAATTCCAGTGGAACCACTGCAGTGCACATGTTGCATTTGCTGCTTATAACTGTCCATAGTAACCGACCTGAAGAAACTTTTGAAAAAGTGCATGGAGATTGTCCATGTTCTTCATTATAAGAGGCATTTATTGCAGAAGAAGTTCACAACCAAAAAGATCATGTAGTGCTTTCAGTCACAAGATGAAAAAGAAAATTATTAACAGAATTAACAGTTCTAGCAGTCACAAACCAAGATGATGGAAGAGAGACAACTCATATTTAAAGTATAGTCTTACTTGACTTGTACTTCTCCAGGAAAACAAGCACACAGCTTGATCTTCTGGAAAAAGTATTTCAGTCCACCTCTTGCAGGTGCTGCTAGGCAAATCTTCTCATGGAATGAATCTTCTGTGCCAGTTGAGGCCATGTTTTCCAGCTTCGGTTTCATGGATAATGGCGGGAGATCATCCATGTTTCCAAGAAATTTAAAAAAACTTCTTTTCTTTACGTTTTTTAAAATGTAAAGTAAAAACTTATTTTGAGAGAGCCAAAATCATTTTTGTTTATGAGTAATGAGAACTTTAATCAGTTTATTACAGGGATATTTTTGATTATGTTGTTCATCAGTTTCACATGCATGAATTATATCTAGTGCAACAGTATAGTTTCTGAAAACTTAATGCTATCTTTATTTACTGATTCATACCTATTACAGGGATAGAAACATCCCTCTTTTTTTTTACAGGCATGTGCACCTTTATGTCACCAACCAGTCCCCACTTCTTAATGGAGCTGTCATATGCCTATTTTAAAAATACTGTTTATGTTTTCATTGACACTCCCACTAACTGCTTTTTTTTTCTTAGAATAGAAACCAATTATCTTGTGGCATATCCTGCACTGGGTAACAAATAAGTTGAAAAAAAATTGACTCAGTTGGAGTTGTAAAAAAGTCAACTAGTTGAATAAGTTAGTAAAAAATTAGTGCAGTTGGTCAGAAATAGATTTGTGACTGATTCCAGTGACTATAGCAAAGCCAGTATGGTTTGACAACTGGTGCTAACAAAAAGGTAAATTAAAATCATTTGGTAACTTTATTTCTCTATTAAATCTCTCAGCACGGGCTCAGTTCCACGGACCAACCTCATAAACATTTTGTGCTTGTTATAGTTTTCATGCTATAACTTTTAAATTGGTAAACGTATCTGCACAAAATTTTGAAGATTATCAGTAAACACTAAAAGGCTTTCGTATGCAAAATATCATATATTTTTTTATTAATGTTTTTGTCATGTCTTTTTTCATTTCGAATGTTGATTATCCAACATGCAAAGTAATTTTCATTTTAAGATTAAAAATACTTTTATGCATCAGAAAACTTTCAAATTTCACGTGTGAAATCTTTATAACCTCCACATATTTATCAAATGTTTTTTTAAGAAAAAACTATATTTTATCAGTTATTTTCACTATCTTATCTATCGTCAATTTGACCGACCTTGTAACCACCATAAAAAATTAG